GCGTGGATTCATGCGACGGTGCAGCATCTGCGCAGCTGGGGTTTGCATCGCTGTGGAATGCTTTGGTGTTTGGGCCCTGGTGGGTTGAAGGGTGACCTGGCTTCTCGTGTTGAATTAGATCTTTCAAGGTCTTTATTTCTGAAAAAGGGGTTGGGTTTTTTTGGTGAATGACTGACTCATTAATAGGAACAGGCAAGACAGCCACTTACAGCTAATAGAGGTTCTCAAGGGGACATTTATTACGCTGAGCTCTTCGTTTAGGCTTCTCTTCAGCCGAGATTAAATGCTGGTGGGCTGATGACAAAACCGTTTAGCTGAAATAAATGACATATGGAGGAGAGCAGATCTGTGAAGGAAAAAAGGAACTTTGCCATGACCCTCTGCAGATACTGGCTTCTTAAATGCAACTGCTATTAAAACCCTGTAACCTAATTTCTCCTCGTCACTTTTGTTCATAAAATCAATTTAAAGAATAAAAGCCTTTAACCGTGGGGATGGGCGGGATACACAGCGAAGGCTGTTGCCAAATATAATCCTTCCCAAAGAGTAATAAGAAGTCTCACCAGGAGAGCCGGCACGGTTCAGTAACATAGGTGGGAGCAGTGTATTGAAGGACAATTGTTTTGTGAGTGGGAATAACGCTGGGGTTTTTAAATGCTTACCTGTGAAGTGCAAATAAGCGGTGAAAGTCCTTTTTTAATAACATCTTCAATAAAACAGTGAATGAAATGAAAGGGGGATATGGGAGCTCACCTTACCCAGCGCCAACGTTATGGTACGAAACTGGAAATGCTGTCACAGGGCAAAACTAGCAACAAGGCTCAGGTAGCACCAAGGGAGCAAACTGCTTGAGCCCCATCGCTGGAGCCAGGGCAGGAGCAGCCCCGAGCGCCCCGGGGCCCCGCAGGGCCGGCGCGAGCCCCTTTGGCAGCAGAGGGCACCTGGAGACCGGCCCAAGGCTTCGCCTGCGGAAAAGTCTGGTTTATTTTTTCCCCCTTCTCCATAACTTTCCTGCGCACCAAGGATTATCACATGTCTCCTCAGATAAATCAGTTGTTTCACCCTTAATGAGCAGGAGACACTTTTCTTTGGGCATTAACTGCCAGGAGAGAACACGCAGGTGTTTGCAGAAAGCTGGATCGGGAAGTTCGGAGTTCGCACACCCTAGGGCTAGTTCCTTTGAAGAGGAACTGTTCTCATTTTCATTCATTCGTGCTCAGACCCCTGCACTTTCTCCTCTCCCGGCCAGGCAGCTTGCACAGCGCCAAGGTCTCGATCGCAGCTGCGGGCGAGCAGGGAGCGCCAGTACTGGGCACGATGGTTGTACTGGGATTCGCCTGGACATCGCAATCGCTACATGACCCTTGTGTTGTGATTTCAGCATGTTGCTGTATCACACTGCTAAAGCAAAACCCTCTGTAACGTCAAATAGGTAAATATCTCAAATAAGTAAATCTGACATTAAACACTCAGCCCTCCCGGTGCGGGATATCTAACGGGCGCGTGCAGGGAGCTCTGGGCTCTGGCAGGGCCGGACCC